AAAAATTTATATGGAAACACAAAAGATCCCAAATAGCCACGGCAATCTTCAGGAAAGAACAAAGTTGGAGGTATCATACTACCTGGTATTAAACTATACTACAAGTCTATAGTAATTAAAACAGCATGGTACTGGCATGAAACCGGACATGTAGGTCAATGGAACAGAATAGAGAGCCCAGAAATAAACCCACACCTATATGGTCAATTAATATTTAACAAAGAGGCAAGAACATACAATGGGGTAAAGAGAGTCTACTCAATAAATGGTGTTAGGAAAACTGGACAGATAAATGCAAAAAACAAAAACAAAAACAAAAACGAAACTAGATTACTTTCCTACACCATGTACAAGAATAAATTCAAAATGGATTAAAGACTTAAATGTAAGACTCCAAACCATAAATGCCCTAGAAGAAAACATAGGCAATAAAATCTCTGACATTTTTCTTAGCAATATTTTTTTCTGATTATCTCCTCAGACAAAGGAAACAAAAGGAAAAATAAACCAATGGGACTACATCAAAGTAAAAAGTTTTCACACAGCAAAGGAAACCATCAACAAAATGAAAAGACAACCTAATGAATGGAAGAAGATATTCCCCATAATACATCCAATAAGGGGTTAATATCCACAATTTGTAAAGAACTTAACACCAAAAAAAACCAAATAATCTTATTAAAACATGGGCAGAGGACCTGAATAAACACTTCTCCAAAGAGGACATACATATGGCCAATAGACAGATGAAAAGATGCTCAACAATTGTCCTGACTGGTTTGGCTCAGTGGTTAGAGTATAGGCCCATGGACTGGAGAGTACCAGGTTCGATTCCTGCTAAGGGCACGTACCTTGGTTGCAGTTTGTCCCCGGCCCTGGTTGGGGTCATGTGGGTGGTAGCCACTAGATGTGTCTCACTCACATTGATGTTTCTCTCTCTCTCTTCCTCCCTCTCTCTTTCCCACTCTATCTGAAGATAAATGCAAAAATGTCCTCAGGTGAGGATAAAAAAAAAGGGATGCTCAATGTCACTAATCATCAGAGAAATGCAAATTAAAACCACAATGAGATATCACCTCATCCCTATCAGAATGGCTATCGGCAATACATCAACAAATGTGTTGGTGAGGAATGCAGATTAGTACAGCCATTATGAAAAACAGTATGAAGCTTCCTTAAAAAATTAAAAATGGAACTGCCTTATGACCCAGTAATTCCACTTCTGGTTATATATATCCAAAGAAACCCAAAACACTAATTTGAAACAATCTATACACCCCTATTTTCATTGCAGCATTATTTACATTAGACAAGATACGGAAGCAACCCAAGTGCCCATCGATGGATGAGTGGATAAAAAGGCTGTGCTACATATACACAATGGAATATTGCTTGGCCAGAACAAAGATTAAAACATTACTATTTGCAACAACATGGATGGACCTAGAGGGTATTATGCTAAGTGAAATAAGTCAGTCAGAGAAAGACAAATGTCATATGATTTCACTTAAATGAGGCATCCAACGAATAAAATAAATGGACAAACAAAAATGCAGCAGACTCATGGATACAGAGGACAGACTGATGGTTGCCAGAGTGGGGGAGAGGTGGAGGGACTGGGTGAAAAAAGTGAAGAAATTAAAAAGTACTAATTGGTAGTCATAAAATAGTCACAGGGATATAAAGTACAGCATAGGGAATCTAGTCAATAATATTGTCATAACTCTATATGGTGCCAATTGGGTACTGAAAACATTGGGATGAACACTCTGTCAAGTATTAGATTATCTAACCACAATGCTGCACACCTGAAATTAATACAAAGTAATACTGAATATAAACTATAATTGAAAGACAAAATTAAAAAAATAAAACAAAAAATGTCAGTGTCGGAAATGTTATAAACTCCAAGTTCCATAAGGCCGCTTAGTAGCTATGGTTTAAAAAAAAAAAAAAATCTGTCAATCTATACTACAGATGCTGTCAACCAACAAAACAATAAAGGTGGATGGTCACACTCTAGGAATCAGTCTTCCCAATCTTACCTTATCTTGGTTTCCAACCAAAAGAATTCAAGCACCAGGTAAAGTTCTTTATTCATATTATTAGTCTACAGGGGTCTCTTATAGGTGACAAAACTATGCTAGGCTGTTAGGCTCCTCAGTGTGGTCTTCTGTGAACAGGTTGGCTTTTTATAGCAGCAGCTCATTGGGGTACCCAATACTGATGGTCTGTTCTTAGCCTGCCCAACTAAACAGCTCAGCATCACCCTTGTCTGGGGAGAGTCTCCTATGTCATAGCTCTTTGATGTCTCCTTTTTTACCCCCTTTATTCCTCTCACACATGAGTCGGTCATTGTTAGCACTGGGGGGCTAAAAATTACTCATAGAAAAGTTATTTTCTAACAGCCTAACTCCCCAGCTCAAGTAGCAGCACCATGATTAAGTCTTACATGGAAACAAATCAGGATTCATATTTATGATCTAGGAAGCAGGAGAATGGTAGTGGACAACTGTGCCAGTGGTAGAGGTACTGGGATCTAGGCATGGCCAGGGTCTGTGGCAACAGGAGCACTTGCTATCCGGAGGGGAGGCTTTCAACTATCAGTCTAAGACCAGACTGGGAAAGAATCTAAGAGCATTAACTCCGTCTGTAACATTTGATATCTGAAGTTGAGATTAAAGTAGAATCTATGCTGGCCTTTGGGAATGAAAGCTCTCTAGGAATCAGAAAGTAAACAGCAGTAGCTATGAGAAAGGATTTAGAAATTTGGGAGGAAAGTCTGGATCTTCCTATTAGGAGCTTCCTAGGTCCCAGCTCATTTGGACTCCTGAGTCCTACTTTGTGAGTGAAACAACTGACCAAAGGGATCAAGAACAGGATAGAAAGGGAAAAAAAGACCCTGTCTAAATTCTGATGGGTGCATTATCTCAGTAAAAACCTAACAGGAGTAGCCTCTCTTTAAGGTCAACACTACTTACAAGAGTGGCAGAATAAAGAAATTTAGCTTATGAGACAGAGCCATATGAAAGTAACTATACTCTGCCAATTCAATCAGATTTCTCTCTCTTTAAAAAAAAAAAAAAATATATATATATATATATATATATATATATTTGTTTTTATTGACTTTTTAGAGAGAGGAAGGGAGTGAGAGATAAACATTGATCGGTTGTCTCCTGCACGCCCCCCACCAGGGATTGAGCCTGCAACCTAGGCATATGCCCTGACCAGGAATTGAACCAAGACCTCTCAGTCTATGGGACGACACTCAATCCACTGAGCCATGCTGGCCAGGCCCAGATCTCCCTCTCTCCCTCTCTCTCTCTCTCTTTTTAAAATTTTATTTATTGGTTTTAGAGAGAGAGGAAGTACGAGGGAGAGAGAGAGAGAAACATCGATGAGAGAGAACACTGATTGGTCGCCTCCTGCATGCCCCCACTGGGGATCAGGCCCACAACCTGGGCATGTGTCCTAACCAGGAATCAAACCGGCGACCTCTTAGTGCATGGGTTGATGCTCAACCACTGAGCCACACTGGCTGGACTTTCTCTCTTTTTTTAACCAGATCTCTTTCTGACATCAAGAGGTGAATGAAAGAAGTGGATAGTGGTTGCAGTTACACATGCAGTAACCTTTAGAGATATAATAATGCATTGTATTCCATGAGCACTCATATTCTGGTAAATATCTTCAGACACATGGTGCCATTTTAATCTGAGACAGCTAATTTATTGAATGCCCATTATATATTTGAGCACTGTATATACATTTTAGTATTTAATCCTAATAACTCTATGGGCTAGGTATTAACATAATTTTCAAAGAAGAAACAGACTTAGAGAGGCCAAGTAAATTGTTCAATATTATTCAGCTAGTAAATGGTAGAGCTAATAGTTGAATCAAAGTCTATGAGACAGGACACTGAATTCTAGAAGTAAAGAGAACATGTAGAGCAGCTCTCTCAGACTGCAAAGAAAGCAAGGCATGGGAAATGAACAGATATCTAGATAAAAATCTCTACCTCCCCCAACCTCCTTTTTTTTAAGTCCTAAAGAGTCCTTCTTAGAATTGGCCAGAAATATGCTGTGGTACCAAAGAAGGTCAGAAATAGTATACCTCAGGAGGCTGAAGGCGTCTACAGGACAAGATATTGATTTCATCTCATGCTACTCGACCATGGCCTGCTTGACCAACAGGACCAAACCCAAACCTGTAACATAGATGCTGAAACCCAGCAAAAGTGAGGAAACATGGTTCACTTTGCTCTCTCTCCATTTTGATGAGGCAAAATTTCATATTACTATGGCTCATTGGGCAATTGCTGGATAAAAGCATAAAGCTGGATTTTTCATTTTCTTTTAAGTATAGATTAAGAAAAACTGTGTTAAAAGTGCATTAGGCAGGGTTGAAAAAGTCATCAATAATTCCACGACAGGAAACAGAAGTAATCCAAATATTTGGTGTGTACAATTATAATGATATACTTTATGACTGACGACCTCATTTTAAACTGTGTACATGAGGGAAGTGCTACATCGGGCAGAAGGACAAATTCACTTCTGTCATTGTATCTATCCACCCCAATTATACTGTAAGATCAGTGTGGGGAAAAATTATACCTTAAACCCACTGTAGTCAAAGACTCATACAGAATAAGGGACTTGATTATGTACTGATAAAAGCATCTCTAACATAATGTTTCCAAAATAGAGATACATATCCTCCTTTCTGTACACTGATACAGAAAAAGGAGGAAAGAATGATTTTCAGGGAATAGAACAGTCCCTAAACATCATGTGTCAGGCAAAAATGGCTCTCTGTGGCCTAACCTCCTTTGAGTGCTTCATATACCATACTTTTCCCACTAGACACAGATATACCAGTCAGTGTTCCAGAGGCCTCTTCCCAGATGGAAGAGTAAACAGGAAGCTGGAAAAACAACTTATTTTAATACCAGCCACTTTACTCCAAGTACCCACTCCTGATATGGCCTTTACCTTCCACAGGGTTGGTTTTCAGTCTACTGCAGAGATTCATGACACCTCCATAGTGGACATTGATCTTGTTAATTGCATCAGTTGAACGTAGCTCCATGAGCTTCCTTAGGTCCATCAGTGAGCAGCCAAAATCTCCTTCATGGCTCTCAACCATCCAGTTTGCCGGCAAGGCATGTTCCGTTGGGTTTGTCATTTTGCCTGCTGTTTCCAAGCCCCTCAATCACCCTCAGTCAGAGAAAATGTGGACTTTCCCTTCAATTGATCAGGGTCTCTTGCTTCTCTTCCTACTTCCTATTTCTTGCTTCTGTGGGAGGCCAGTTAGGAAATTGATTGACTATATTTCGTGCAATAAGCTTCAGAGACTCTAGCTCAGAGCCTTTTTCCTTAGAAGCTTGGCAGCAAGAAGAGGAAGTGGATGGGGGAACTGAGTGGAAGCCAGACCACGTGTCACGATGATTGGTGTCCCCAGGTGGTGATGGAAGTGGTTGTCCAGGGTAGGTAGGTTCCTAGCTCAGACCACCTTGCCCAGATGGAAGAGTAAACAGGATGTGCATGTTACCATGGAGGAAATCTTAGCAACAACCAGAGACTGTGGTGGTAGAGCGGCAGCAGGCGAAGGAGGAGGGCTCCCTGGATACCAATGACAACTGGATCTCTGGAATATTCAAAGATAGACAAAAAGAAGCAATTAGAGCAGCCATGGTGATCCAGCACCTGCAAAGGCAAGAGATACTCATTCTAGCACAGGGGTTTAGGTGACAGTTGGTGCCCGACCTGAACTGATAACAGAGTCCTAAGCTAAGTGAACTAAAACAGGAGAGGCCCCTTCCTCCCTGAGAGGCCCCAGCAGCCTGTAAAGTCCAGTGTAGGGAAGTAATTTCAGATACACCCCAGTTGTCATATCTGATCTCTTCCAGACCAAGAGCACAAATCCCACAACTTCAGAAACTTGGAAATAAAAGGTTATGACCTCTGACGGCTCTAATGTTCTCCCTCTTCGTGGGACCCGCTACACAATCCTTTCATCTTGACTTCTATGAGGTGAGACAAGGTCAGAAAAGGAGTCCAGACCCAAAAGCTCTGGAGGATCGCCCGCCAGTCTGCCCCTCGCCCCCATGCTCCATACCCTTCCCTACTCCCAACACACACATTTACAAACCAGGAGGACAGCCTGAGGGAAGATGCTCAAATCCTGTAAGGCCCGTTAGAATACTCAGCCTCCAGCTACATGGAAACTCTGTAGCTTGCTGCAGTTGTCGGTAGGCCAGGCACAGAAGTTCAGGTCATGGAGCTTGGAGGAGGGAAGGGGAGAGTAAAATGCTCTGGCAGTTGGTGAAAAGGGGTGGAACCTTTTTACATAAGAGGGCCCTCTGAGGAGAAAAGATAATGAGTTTAAATCCTATGAGTGTTCAAGTTTCTCTGGTGTGGCAGGGATAAGACAGCTTTTGACTCTGATAGAGCCATGGGCCACAACAAGTCAGCAGGGGAACCAAGTTAGCCTCTGCGTGGGTTAGCACCTGAGGGTCTCAGGTCAGCATGCCTCCCTTAGGAGGGCAGGTGTTACCTCTCACACACACTCACTGGGGTGGGGGAGCAGAGTGAGGATGTGGAGAGCTGAAGGTGAGAAGAAGGCTGATCCTGAGCCCTGAGCCCTGTTCTCAGCTTCCGCTTCATGAGTGGCTTCCGGGTGTCATGCAGGACCCACTGGCCACACATCAGCCATTGAAATGTGAAGAGGCTCCTCCGGAATGCAGCACCAGGACATGGAGACCCAGTCTTGTTTAAACTGTCCCTGCTGACTTGAGTTTGGTTACCAGGGAGTGGCAAGGAGCTCTGGTCAGCCTCTCTCTAATAAATAGATGGCATTCTCCTTCCAGAAGGTGACAAAGCACAAGCACTATCAGATAAGAATTTTTTGTCAATTACTTTCCCAGAAATCACATGTGACCAAAGTTCCTGCTGATTCCAATCAATCCTGTTCCAGCAGGATCCCTGGGGTAGCGGGGACTATAGAAATCTCCAGTGGGCTTTCTGCCTCCTCCTATCACAGATTTTTAGAGCTACTCTGACGTATACAGGGTTAAGCAGCAGGGTTTTGTTTTGTTGTTATGATTGTTTAATATCACACTCCCTTTCTTTCTAGATGTCATCAGAGAATCCTGGAAGCAAGCAGGTCTGGAAAGCACCTGAGGCAGTGTGTCCACCTCCCTTAATTCAGACTCGGAGGGATAAGCGGTGGCACAGAATCCTCTCTCCAGGTCAGCTTTCCTCCAAGTCTGCTCTGCAGCAGAGTGAAGCATGACGGTAAAAAAAAAGAAGCCCATCTTGATCCTTACATGGGACTTCTTCAGCTTTCAAGAGGATGTTGAAAACAGTGCTGACCGTGCTACACTGGAAATCAGATTTTATTTTCTGTCTCCACCCACAGGGTTTGTTCCAGGAAGGCAAAGATTTTACTCATCTGGTTCATCACTTGAGCCCCAGGGCCTCGAGGAAAACCTGCACAGGGCGGGCAGTCAGCTAAATTTTGTATTGAATAACCAATAGCAGATTCAGAACCAGATTTACCATTTTGCAGGCACCCTTTGGGCAGGTTACTTAGCCTTCTTAGGGCTCAGTTCCTCCCACCTTAACCTGGAGGAAGAATCAGCCCTACCTTTTCACACCATCCTAAAAAAGTGATAAAGGAATGGGATTATAGATAGAAATAGTGGTTGGAAATCGTAGATGAAAGATACCCAGTGTCCAGTATAGGACACTCAAGTGATTTGAGAAAACTTAATTTGATCTTACTGAACTTTGTTATCTAGCCCTTTAAGCAGAAGGGCAATATGTTCCATGTGCCCCTCCATCTGTCTTTGCCAGAGGGAGAATGGAAAATCTAGGAATGCTTCACTAGCAATTATCATTAGGTAGGTGATACCCACTAGGCTATACAGCCATGGCTCTCTAGGGAATGAGCAGTCTAAGTCAGAAATCTTACTTTGAACTTCTCCTCGAGGTACCAAAGAGGAGAGCTTCTTTCACCCACATAGGCAACCAATGAGAAAAAGTCACTTAAGATTAGAACACACGGGGCACGTGAAAACAAATGTTTGTCTGCTTCAGGTTGCTCTAGAGACACATAACTCAGGAGGTCAAGCATGGAGGTGCTGACACAGAGTCAGAGGGCAGTGTCCAGGTGGGAGCCCAGTTTATTTCTCCATGAAAGTTATTCTGGGATTCGGAGGTGTGGCAGGTGCCCATACTTCTTTCTGAGCTCCTAGAATATGAGCTCACTGCCGCTGCTGAGCTTGCCTAGCCCCTAACCTTATTAGGCAACTGGCAAAGAATAATCTGTAAGTGCTCACACTGCCTCAGCCTCAGACACACGCCCAGATGCCTGGGAGGTAATGTCTCTTGTCAGGTCAGAATTAATCATTGGCTCCATGCATTGTGGGTAAGGTATGTTCTCATAGCCCATTGCCAGCATTTAGCTAGCCTAAGGGATGATAGGATGGAAGAGCGAAGTCTCTCATCCCTTCCTGCAGGGCCAAGAAATCACATTATTCTACATGATCATAAAATCATTTTAATTTTTTTCCTCCTAAAGTGCCGTAACATGTGTTCCACAATTTGTAATGACACGTGAAAGCACTGTCATATCAATTCTAGGTAGGATAGCTCTCATGCCTTACAGATGAAGACGGTGTGGTCCCAGGAGGTAAAAAGTGATTTGGTCTTTGGCAAGTCAGTGACCTTGACTGCCTGGCATTCTTTTTGTTACGCCTTACTTCTTCCTTGAGTCTGGACCCTCTCATTTTCTGACAAACATTTACGAGGTCCTTTAAAACGCAGGCATCTCTGGGGTGCTGCTGGTACTTTCCCCGTAAACATCTTTGGTGCAAGAATTTTTGCTGCACAACTAATTGACCATAAGGCAATTTTGCAGTAAAAGATAAAAACAAAAACAAAAACAAAAAACCGATTGACAGTTTGGTCTGCATTGGGCAGACTTCATGTATTTAACCTAGCTGTCAGTTTGGTTTCATTTCTCCATGGACGAAGTTCTTACACTTACTCTCATTTTTACATTATATAAATCTCAGCCCTCACAACAGTGTATACAGTGATGAGTCGACGCACTGGTCTTAAAATAGCGGATGATAACAACTGTGTATAAAGCAGATTGCAAAGCTTCGTGTACAGCCAGATGGCATACTCTACTAGAAAATGATCACAGACCTGTTTGAAAATCCTTCAGTGAGCCCAGTGAGCCCTCCCATTCATCAAAACCGAAAGTTTACCAGGCTGTGCAAATGGATAGCTCTATTAATAAAGGAAGAAGAAATTTTAGCAAAAAGGAAAAAGTGCCATGCCTAACAAGGAGATCAATCCACACACTAAAAAAAAAAAAGTATAATACTATGAATGGAAGATGTTTATTTTCATTTTTCTCAATAAAGTCTTTTACATTTTGTTCTTAATTTTTCATGTTTCATTATCACTATGTCCTTTTATGTTAATTTTTCATTATTTTATCTTTTATGAAAAAATGGCCTTAGAGCCAATGAGTTGTATGTGGCAAAAACATGTGCGGGGAACACAGTTGCAGGAATAATATACCTAGAACCCTCTTGGGAGCAGAAAGTACCCATTTCCATCTAAAGGTGATGCTGACTCTTACCCTTGCTCTTTGTCTTTCAGAATCATCTCCATCACATCCCAGGCAATGAGGGTGAAACAGACCCTGCCTCCCGTTCCCACACATTCCCACGATAACTCAGTCTGCAACCAGGCTCAGTAGCAAGTTCCAGAAAAGAGAACCTGCCTGGGACAAGAACTTCATGGCCTAAGCCACCAAACCATACACAATAGTCAGATGCTCTGTTTCCTCCAATTTTGTCCAAAGAATCCCTTACTCTTGGAAACTTTCCTGGGGTGCTAAAGAAGAGATAGATTTCCAGGCTATGAGAAAAAAGGGTAACTCCCCATGTAGGGGATAGAGTAGGGTATTTTGAGGATCTAAAAGGAACCTACCCCCTGAATCTTCCCTGCCAAAGGCGCCTATTAAATCTAGCGTGATGTGTGGGAAATGAAGTATGAATGAAAATGGGAGAAGAAAACAGCGGGGGTGGGGGTGGGGGGGTGGCTAGGGCTCCAGGCTGGGGCAGCACCACTGCGGACCTGCCTGGAATAATAAGCAACTCCACTCCACTCCGGCCTCTGGGCTGCAGGCAGGCTGCTCACAGAGCAGACTCTTGTTCCCTGCCCTCCCCCGCTCTCTTCCCTGGGCTGAGAGCCTGTGCTCAGGAGGGAGGTAGTGGTAGCACTCAGAGATGCTCTAGCTGGGGTGCCAGCATCACTGCCACGCATGCAGGGAAGGGTGAAGAAGGGAAGACCTGGGGAGGGGGGCGGGTTGGTCCCACCTAGGATGCACCAACTTAAATATGAAACATGCTTCAGGGCCACCCCCGTCCCCAACCCTTCCAAAATAAAACCTTTCTCTTTCCTCTGATCCAGATGCTCCCTTCCTCACCCCAAATGAGGCTTGATTTCTCCCTCTTTTCAGGAGCAAGGGTGGGGTTGGGAAGGGAAGGAAATAATATTTGTCGAGCACCTACAATGAGCCAGGTACTATGCTAGGCACTTTATGTGACAATCAGAGAAAAATCATATATAGTGCATGTGTATGTGTGTGTGTGTGTGTGTATATATACACATATATATACACATGCACATATATATGTGTGTGTGTGTGCATTTATGTGCATACACACACATGTATTATTACATAGTGCCTAGCATAATGGCTGATATGTAGTGGTTGGTCCATACATAGCAGCTAGTATCATTACAATGTACATTGTTTCACTGGATCCCCACCAACAACCCTGTAAGGAGGGCACCCTATTTCATAGCAGGGAAATACAGTTTCAAAGGGCCAGGATTTGTGACATAGTCTGAACTGGAAGCCACCTTGCCTCAAGTACAAGGACACTAAGAAAATGGAAACAAAACAATTGATTTACTTCTTCAAGTGTGATGAGAAGATCCACATAAACCTATTTGATTCTTGCCCATGACCCATAAAAGCTCTGAAGTAGGTCAGGTGAACACCTCCTTAACCTCTTTGAACTCTCTGGGCAGGTATAGAGATAGATCCAGGGCTTATCAGACACACCCACCTAGCCTTCTTCCAACACATATAGTAACCCCCAGGCCAGAACACAGTCGGGTCTGGACCGGCATAATTCCAAGCATCTCCATTTCCCACCTGGAGGTCCTGGGAGTGGGGATGAGGGTTTCTTCCATTCAATCACCTCACACCCTTGGCCTTGCAACCCAGAGTGACTTGGGAGAGGCCCAAGAGAGATTCTGCTCTAGATTCTCTCTCCTTTCTCCAGCAAGGGCACTTCCTGTGCCATGATCTACAGGGTTTTAAGCTTTACTCCTCCTCTCAGGCACTCCTGTGCTTTTCAGAGGGCCATACCCTGTCGAGAAAGCTGGCAAGCTCCTCAACATGCAGGCTGCCTAGCCTGAAACCATCTCCCTCTCCACACCCACTGGCCCCTCTCTCTGAAGTTTTAAACTCCACTCAGAGGCTGTTCTGCTCCCTCCTCCTTACAGGCCCCTTATTTCCATGACTCACCTTTGCCAATTCCCACCACTCAGGTCTGGTAGCCATCCTCATTGTGGTCCTAGGTCTTCCTTCCCTCCCCATGCCCGCCCGCCCGCCCTAATTGTTCCTCTAATGCCTGCTGGCTTGCAGACACAGACCTGAGTACACCTCCCCTCCAGTCTACTGAGGCTCTGTGGAGGCATGTGGGAAGAAGGTCAGAGGCAGCGCACATTGGCTGAAGTTCAGGCGGTAGGCGGCACTGTCTGTTACCATCAGCAACCACCAGGCCCACGCCAGGAAGTCCAGTGAGGGCTGGTCACCAAAACCAGGGCTCTGCACTGACCACAGGATGGCACACTGTGGCCTGTGGGCCTGGGTCTGGAGCCTTATGCTAATTCTCAGTCCTTCCTAAAGAGAGAATATCACTTCCTACTTAGGAGGCAGGTTGGGGTTAGGCACACATGCACGCACGCACAGGCACGCACGCACGCACACAGCACGCGCACTTGGCTCCCTCTCCCTGTGATGGATGAGGTAGATGAAGGGGTATTGTGTATGGATCAGATGTACACAGGATAATATTGGTGATCTTAGAAACAGTGCTTAGTGGGAGGGGGAAAGTGCTATAACAGCCTTTACATGAATTGAAAACACACGCATCTAAAGCAATTCTATACCCTGTAAGGGACATATTTAAACTGAGAGATACATTAGAATGCTGCGCCTGGCAAGGAAGGGAACGGATGTGAAATCTGGGGAAACACTGAGCACGGGAAGAGTCTTACATGAACCAATGATAATAATGGGCCATGAGCCCATTATTTATCAACTCAGTACTCTGTGCGTGAGGTCCAAAAAATAAAAATAAAAATAAAACGTACCACGATGCTGAAACCTTTCAGACCTGGAAGAGCTGCACCGTCTAAGCTATGTTGTGACAATGACGATATAACTTATCAGTTCTGACCAGATGCCTTCAGGGGGCAGGGAGAAGACAGGGCCCATAGATAGCATAAACAGTCTCAAAAAAGTGATACCAAGAATTGACCCAAGGTTGCCAGTCTGTTCCTGATCATTTGGCCTGTCGATCCAGCCCATGTCAGAGACCTCAGGAATCAGTCACATGAAGACAGGAAGCTTCATAACATGGGTCAGGAAACCGAACCAGGAATGTACCTGAGAGGGCAATGCCTCCTGGGCCCCCTCCTCCTGCCGTCATCCCAAAAGAGCATCAATATATCAAGATGAAAAAGGGCAGTCCCTCAGCCCCCAAACCATGGGTCATGTACCCTCTTCCAAATAATCTAAATCAGACTGGCCCAGGTCACCTCTATGGCCTCCTGTGACTCAGGAGTGTGGGGGTGCTCACTGCAAGCTAGAGCTATAAAAATGTAGGGGATGAAACAGAAAGACTGACCATTCCTTCAGGCGGGAGTGACAGTGCCCTCTGGAAGGCCTGTTGTTTAATGGAAGGGGTGCTGGCAGCCTCTTGTGATCCCTCCCATCCGATTTTGGGAAAGGCATTGGATATGAGTTACAAAGTATCCGTCTTTCCAGCTAAGTAAGGTGCAGCTCTTGGGTCTGGGACAGGAAGCTACTAGGCTAGCAGACAGGAGGTAGGCCTTGAGCAGTACCATTCAAACATCTAGTCTGTGCACTCTCCTGGTCAACACAGATTGCCTTTCTTGGGGCTGCTGTGGTTTTTCCACATTTTTGGTCCCAAGGGAACAAAAGGGCTTTTTAGCAGCTGGACTGGATCCTGCATTATTTTTAGAAACAAATTTCAGCAGAATCATGCCATGCTCATGGAAAGGGAGAGGAAGGTCAGTCTTCCTTGGCTCCTGGGTCAGGATCTTGTTGCTCCCAGGCCTCAGGTTCTGTTGGAGCGCTCAGGGTGAGGAGCAAGCTGTCTGGCCTCACACTGAGGAGGCTACATCTCATCCACCGAAATGGGGGTGCCCTGGGCTGCTGCTCTCTCCCCAGGGGCCTATTGAGAGAGGAAGCAAAATAACATTCCTGTGTGACCCAGACACTAGTCAGAGTACCTACCACACACTGGACATCATGCCTGGCCAGCACTCCATCACCTCCCTCCTCTCCATGACAGTCCACTTGTGCAGACTACAGAGAACCAGGACTTTGCCTGTTCCAGCGTTCTCTCAGCCCAACTGTTTCCTGGAAGTCCCAGGCAAACAGGTAAGGACTCCACGCTGAGAAGAGTTGTTTATCAGGAAAGAGAGCTGGGAGCACTCCCTAGTAACCTGTCACCTCACTGCTCCAGTTCCACTCTTTCTTGTTCCCTCATTGCACAGACAGGAGCCACTAAGTCAGCCTGGGGCTTGAGAGAGTAGACCGAGCACACTCCCTTGCGCTTGTGTCGTGTTTCAGAGCAGTGGTTCTCAAACCCTAGTGAGCATCATCATCCCAGGAGGGCTGGATAAAACCTATTGTTGGGTCAGCTCCCGGGGTTTCTGATTCAGGAGTTCTGGGGTGGGGCCGGGGAATATGCACGTCTAACAAGTTCCCTAATAAGGGGTACTGACGCTCTCTGTGGGCTCCCCAAGTATCACCACCCCTTGGACCCAGGCTCCCTTTCTCCTGCCATCCCACAAATTCCCACAGAAGGGCTGGCCCAGGACTCCCTACAACACCTCTGTGGGGGGTGGAGGGGGAGGAGGACTTGGGGGGACACCTGCCCACTGTTCGGAGGGGCACGAGGTCACAGCTGGCGGGGCCGCAGCAGCTGCTGTTTTCCAGGCGGGTGACAGGCTGCTGTAAACACTCTGTGTAGGTTGCTATGGCAAAGTGAGTGTGCAGCCTCGCCACGGCGCAGCTATTTCTGTGCTGTGATGGCAGAGTGGTCTGTTTTTTATTATTTTACTTTTAAAGTTTTCCTTTCCCAGCCCCCTAAAACAGCTCAAAAAATAAAAATAAAAAAGAGCCGCCGCAACTTTCTCAGGGACCAAAAGAACAGAGCAAGAAAAGACAGCTTAGGCCTTGAGCCACAGGGGAAGAGGGTAAGTTCCTCTGAAGAAGCTCCCTTTCTTGTCCGGACACGCCTCTGCCTCGGCTCCTAGGGGAGAGAGGCCGAAACTCAGGGTCCTCTCCTCTCTGCACCACTCACATTACCGACAGAAGACAAAGCTACTTGGTCTCCTTCCCTCCTGTCAAAGCCAGGCTCCCGCCAGCAGCACGCCTCCCACCCCTCCCACTCCTCCCACCCCTCCCACCCCTCCCCTCCCCCACGGGCTGCCCGTGTCATCGGGGTGAAGACACTGAGGATTCCACCAGGGGTTGTGGGAAGACAGCTTCCCAGCAGAGTCCCCCACTCCCAAGGGTGCAGTGCCACCTGGCGTGCAGCCTGGCCACTCCCTGCTGGAGGTCTGCCAGAAACGACCCCCGACCCCCGAGGTGCCTCTGAAGGGACACGTTTCCCTCTACTTGTACAGAGAACTCTCATCCTG